TTTTTTTATTATTAATACCCCCCCCCCCGTAACATCTCTTGCGAGTGGAATTTCGTAAAATTCGTTCTAAGCTGACCTCTACTCGGCGAAGGGAATATCCTTATCAAATTTCAAGTATCTTTGCCTTATGGTTCTTCACTAATAAAAAATTTAACTTGAAAGGAAATCATTTTCTTGAGTCAAGAGAAAAAATTCTTAAGTCAAGAAATTATTCTTAATTCAAGAATTTTTTCTCTTGACTCAATAAAAATATTTTCTTCAAAATGGTATTCTTGATTCAACATTTTTTCTGTTAATCAAGTTAAATTTTTTATCAGTGCAGAGATATCGTGATGAGTCAATACATAGGTGGAAACCTCTTATGTATATCTAGACGACTAGATGATAAATAACAATATCTAAGCAGTTTTCGTTATGTATGCTACACCAAGATAAACGCTGAGTCAAATAATTACTCGATGGAATCTTCACCCAAAAAATAACTCACATTTAAAGATAACAAAGGCAATTAAAATTTTGAAACCAAACAAAAAAACTAATAGAAAGTAGTTGACCCTGCAAGCCACCATCGGAACTTTGTATTTTGGTTAGCCTCGAAGTACTCGAAAACGCTTAAACCCACGTAAATCTCTAGACTCAAAGATATGAATTTGCATTTATAAAATAATTTTCGAAAGTCGGTCTGAAACTAATAACTTCCCGATTTTTTGAAAATCATTGATTTTCATAGCGGGAAGTTAAGAAAGTGTAAACGGAAACATAAATTTCGTATCCAAAAATTAAAAAAAACCATATGGCGGATTGAGTTTTACAATATACGAGTATTAATCACATATCTCACTCAATTTATCTCAATAAAAAATTAAAAGGATCATCAAGTTATCAATGGTTTTCATTATATTGTTCTTACTTTAAGTATCAGGTTATAAACACTGTAATTTTTAAGTAAAAAAAATTTAAAACGTTAAATAACCCGAAAAAAGCGATTAAACTTTTATTTTCTTTATCTAGAAACTTCTAATTAAAATTTCGAAAATTCAATTATGACTAGAAAGTATCAGTGGTACTAACAAGTGTGACCCTCTTTTTTTCACTGCTCAATTTTTCTGTTTAGTACGAACAAAACAAAGTAATTCATGATTTTTTTAATCACAGAAATTTCGATGTAACTATATATGATTGTTCCATTTAAACAATAAGTAAATAAGCTTTTTTACATTTTTATAATTTTTTTTAAGTTTATACATCATAATCCTATTACTAAAAAGCCAATGAAGCCTTAATTCATTTAATATGCTTCATGACCAAGCTCCTTAAAGATTTGAAAGTATAGAATAAGTAGTTAAGAGAAAATCTGTATTATTGTTACTACTTACCGAACAAAATAACTATTACACAAAGAGTTTTTGTATTTTTCGTTGGATTACAAATAATTGACATCGCTGTAGTCGAAATCAGTATATGTAAGTAGAACAAGTAAAGTATTCAATAACCGTAATAGAGTGACAAGAAACTACTGGAGTATATCACAGATCCACTTAGAATGTTTCGCTCTCCCTCTACTGTTCTTGAGCGGGAAGAACGTTCTGATGTGTTATACGACTTTCTATCTCGTAAGAGATATATTTTTCGGTTTGTCGAAATTTTCCGAAAGCTGGACACTTCATAATTAAAAAAATTTAACCACTGACTATATCACAACTTTCTAAATTAGAAATATATATTAATTTCTGATTTCCAAAACTGTATTAGAAAAAAAAATTTTTAACTTCCCGCTAAGAAAATTGAAAATTTTCAAAAATCGGGAAGTCATTGTTTTTATCCCGTTTTTGAAAATTGAGTTTTCATCAGATCTTGACGTTTTGAGGTGTGTGTGTGTGTGTGTGTGTGTGTGTGTGTGTGTGTGTGTGTGTGTGTGTGTGTGTGTGTGTGTGTGTGTGTGTGTGTGTGTGTGTGTGTGTGTGTGTGTGTGTGTGTGTGTGTGTGTGTGTGTGTGTGTGTGTGTGTGTGTGTGTGTGTGTGTGTGTGTGTGTGTGTGTGTGTGTGTGTGTGTGTGTGTGTGTGTG